AGTGAGAAGTCACCTCAAGCACCAGCCTGTGCTTTGAACCCAGTTCACAGGTAAGCTGTTGGTCTGTGGCGCACGTGATTTCGCTTATCCGCGGCAGGCTCGCAGTGACACTTCCGCCATTATCCTCCATCATCCCGCTTTCGGCACAGTCGAGCCCTCAGTGCCGCCTATCGTCACTGATGTTTGGACTCACGGGTCTCCAGTTACTCTCTTATCGTGATCCATGGCAGTGGACTGACGTTCCACTTGCATCCGTACATGACTGTTTGGATAAGGATATATAAGTGTTTTCTTCATTTATGCCCCATGTCCATGCCCATGCCTGCTGCCTGAGTCTTCGCCTCCACTGACCAAAGCATACCCTTTCTCTGCCGAGAATGGAACCACGACTGGCTGCCAGATCAGCGCTGCCGAAACATTCGAGGCAATTCCTCCTGGGCGTGGTCGTGGCATCGCATATCCGGCCGAATCACTTCATCCGACTCCCTGCGCAGGTCAACACACCCCAGCAGATTCATCAGGATCGCAAGGCACATACTAGACGCAATGCCTCATCGGCCGCGCCTCACATCATCGAGACGGAGCATGTAACGACCTCAGTGCCAGTCTCACGACCTTTGTCATGTCTTTCTCTGCCCACGCTGATCCGCTCTTACATTATCACCTCAGTGTCCTCAATCCCGCTCCTCCTTCGACCCTCCTTATCAGTAATGTCCTTCCTCGCACATACTAAGTCGCCTCTCTTCATGCCGGATCGGAATCCTCTCCTCCATTTTCTTCTCAAGAAAACATTCTATGCACAGTTCTGTGCTGGAGAGACCCCTACCGAGGTCAGAGCCACAATCGCAGACCTAAAACATACAGGTTACAGCGGCGTGATACTGGGGCATGCAAAAGAGGTTGTACTTACAAAGGAGGATTCTGAAGGGTTGGATGCGTCTCGAGACTCATCACAGCAAGCAGCTCTCAACGCAGATGAAATTGCGACATGGAGAAGTAATACTGTTGCAACCGTGGACCTAGCCCAACCGGGCGATTTCGTTGCGCTCAAGTTTACTGGTGCGGGTCGTCAAGCCTTGCAACATCTCAAGGCTACCATAGCATGTTCTCCGGATTTTGAGCAGGCTGTCCATGAAATCTGCCAAAGCGCTCAACAGAAAGGTGTAAAGCTCCTCTTTGACGCTGAGCAGGCGTCCCTCCAGCAGGGTATTGACAATTGGACCATGTACTTCGCAAAAAGATACAACAAGAATCAAGCGTTGGTGTATGGCACTTACCAAGCATATGCCCAACGCACTCCACGAATATTGGCGCGCCACCTCGAGTTAGCCAGGAACGAGGAGTTCGTCTTGGGCGTCAAGCTCGTCCGGGGAGCATATCTAGGTAGCGACCCACGAGAGCTCTTTTGGCCAACCATCGAGGAGACTCACAAGTGCTACAATGAGATCGCAAAGGCCATTCTGCAGAGACAGTATCAAGGCATGCTGCAACCCATTGCTGGTGGTTCGTCAGAATTCCCGCAAGCGAGCCTGGTACTAGCGACGCACAACGCCGAGTCTGTAAGACTAGCAGGGAAACTTCGTGATGAACAGGCTCGGAATGGCGAGCCACAAATTGAACTTGCATACGGTCAGTTGATGGGGATGGCAGACAACGTGAGCTGCGAGGTGGTACAAACTGCAAGAAGCCGTTTAGAGTCTAGCGCCACCAACGTGGAAATCCCCCGGGCCTACAAGTATCTGGTATGGGGCAAATTGGGCGAATGCATGAAGTATCTCCTGCGTCGTGCCCATGAAAATCGAGATGCAGTCACCAGGACGGTCGAGGCGAGACGGGCATTGAGCCGAGAGTTGGGCAGCAGGATGGCGTTCTGGAGGACATGATGATTGGCAGAGGGAAATGTGGATTGCTACTGAGCATGAGGGCACTATTGATTCGAGGTTATTGAGGCGATTTATTGATGCAAATGTGAGGCGCCTTTCACGGTGGTTTGGGAGTTGAATTCTTCTGTTGGCGTGGCTGGCTTGATTTGCAGCGGAAAGAGCATCAGATGTGCGAGCACCTCAACATAGAAAAGGGGATTAATCTTCTTGTTTCCATTGTGACTGTTTATCTCGAGAGCAAACATTTTTGCGTCGATATCCTCAGCAATTACTGATCCTCCCAGTCCCATATCCCCATCTCCTCCTAAGGCAAGGAACAGACCCGGGTAGCTGCTGCCTGGATCCCTGCATTCTCAGGCAGGCTGGTTCAGTTCACTCAGTTCACCTTGGGCCAGATTTTCTTTGTTCACCAAAATCATTCACTTTCACCGATACGCCTTCACTACATTTGTTGACGCTGCCTTCTTCTGCCTCCGATATGGCTACAAGGCGCGCACCTTACTCTCCCCCGTGTTCACCACGACGCACCTTGAGCAATATCTCAACCGACGTTACCAACACACCGTCTCTCGTCTATAGCGACTGCAGCAGCCCTGCCTCTGAGGTTGGTTTTCCGTCCAGGGTATGCCCACCCTGTTCTCGCTAATTCAGGCATCAATGCAGGACATGATGGCGATTGAGAACGACTCTAATCATGTCAGTGGAGTCATGGCTGAGGCCCTGAGCCATCTCAATAGGGTGGTGGAGCATGTATGTCGTGTCTCTCACGTCTATACGACATGTTGGGGCTAATCAGGAGCAAGCTTCGAGGCGAGGATGAAAACGAGGCAGCGAATGAGATCGCGAGAGATGTCCATTCAATGCTGGACACGTTCAACCATGTCACCGCCCCTTGGGACCAAGAGCAGTTCCTGATGAAACCCGTCCCTGCATCCGACCCTGCAGTCAGCATTCGCCCCCCTCCTCCTGGCACCAGATCTACCTGGGCTGCCGTCGCCGCCACCGACATACCGAGAAACAACCGTCTAGTGAAATTCCGGCCCTCTGATGGTTTAAAGCGACAGGTCAATAAAGAAGAGTTGCCAAAAGATGAAGATTATCGTTGTGTCTGGATCTATGGCTGGAGCAAGAACAGACCGTTGAAGGACGCCACCCAACGTGTCAGTTATGGAGCAATCTTTTCCATGGTATATGTGGAACAGCACAACGCTACTTGCGTCATCTTCCAATATGCGAGCTCGGCCATAGCCCTCGTGGACGAGGATTCATATGCTCGACGTGACCATGGAGAAGGCTTGTTCGGACCAGGTACCGAGATCAAGATGGGAGAGGCATATCCAGAAAACGATGAGCTCCAGCGCATGTCGGCTCCTATCAATGAGCGTCGCCGCCTAACCTTTGCTCGCCAACAACTCTTCACCAATGGCATGAATCAAGTACGATTCATGAAAGACTTGAGTGATATTGTTGGAGAACACAACATAGAGTTGGTTTGGCTATTCAATACTGGAAATGGTAGGCTTCCCCCTGGTTGCTTACGCTCCATCTAATCGAGGATTAGCCACGGTTGTCTTTGCTGCAACTGCGATTGCACGAATTATCCGTGACGAATTTATCAAGCGTTCACGAAAGCCTGGTCCGTACCAGGAAGTACAGATTGGGTTCAGTCATGACCCGTGCGAACGCCCCTTGAACCTCATCACCCAGATCCCTTGTCCTGGAGACGGTTATCCTGGAAAAGGTCGCGATCGACGGGACAGCGCAGTGTCGGCTTCGAACATTCGCTCATACAATCCGACTGCACCTAAGTTCACACCAGGAAATGTTATTGTGAATCGAGGCAAGAAGGGAACTGATGCTGATGGTTGGCAGACTGTTCACAGAAAACGCTAAGGCCATGCTGCAAGCTGGTCTAGTTTCTCCTCGTATCGAATCAACCGATAGGACGAATGTGAGTATAGGACGGACATGGAGAGAATTCTCTTCCGACACGAAAAGTGGGTACAGTCAAGGCTTTGAACATCGATGGGTTACAAAGCAAGAGTCGAGACGTGGGCAAAACTTGAGCACGCGAGAAGGATGAATATCGAATGGCAGAAAGAAGAGCCGGTCTTTGTATGTACAACTTAGACAAATGAACCAGTCACATCATTGCCTTTGGCAGCAATATGCCAGGTTACGCCAATTCCGAATTCAAATTCTTCCGTATTGAAACATGAGAGTAGTCTTGAACCTTGAGGTAAGAGTGGTTTCTTTGTCTAGAGCTGTCACATATTGATCTGAGACCTCAAGGGCATTTCGGAGCAAATGTTTCAGAAACGGCTTTTTCTCCTTGTTATGTAGAAATTCGGGGACATCAGGCACAGGTATCAGGCTCGATCATGCCATCTTTGCACAATTGTCGACGCTGCATACTCCGTAGCTGAGGAAGAAATGATTTGTTGAATCGGGGCATGAGGTAGGCGAGGTTTCCAAGACGTTAGCGACGGGCAGCTATAAAAATCAGTCAAAAATACTTGGCTATTGTGGAGTAGAAGGACAATCGCCATGCCGAAGGCACGCTTATTCTTTGTTATCGTTGTTGTTGTTCTTCCCACAAGTATCTACATGCCATTCCACTCGAAAAGCACAGTCACCAAAATTCTCGACAATCTTGACCACGTGTTGCGCCGTTTCCAGTGCGATGATCCGGTCAACGGCAAAATGGGACGACCACCAACATGCCCAAGCATTACCATGCCAAACAACATATCACCATCAGTAGGTGTTTGAGCTCTAGAGTATGTTCTCACAAGGGTAGGATCTAGGATCTAGAGTCTAAGCCACACGAAGCTTTCTTCCCATGCACAATCTTTGATTGCTTTCTTCTCTGCTTCAGAATCATGCAACGGTCTGAGCCTTTGAAAGATGTGTGCACCTCGTTCGAAGCATTTACTTTCCGCGCGGACGTCATGCGCCTGGCTCTGGGGAAAGATTTTCGGAAAGACGCAGAAGCAGATTGCTACGGCGCCAGTCATTCACAGTGACTCACCTTTCAAGGCGGCGAGCTGCAGAGCGCGTTTTTCGTTCCATCGGTAACAAGTCAACCATTTTTGTACAACGGCAAAAAAAAGAAGATGCTGATGCCGGGGTTTGAACCCAGGTCTTCCCCTATTTCCACGTGAAGCGAGGTGTCTTTGTTGTGGGAAAGGGATATGCTATACCACTGCACTACATCAGCGAAATGCCATGTCTTGACGAGTGAACGACAGCAAAATGTCCGGTGTTTAACTATTTCAGTTAATTGATGGAGCAGGATGCAAGGCTCATATTGACAAGGCTGTCCAGTGTATCGAAGGTGAGATTGATAAATGGCAACATCGTCGAAATCATTCTGTCAGCCTCAGTGGACTGCTTGATTTGACCCAGGGTGATTTTATCTCTAGAGGCTGTTCGCAGAATGAGTCAAACATGTTAAAATGGCTGCCAGTCCAGTTCCTACGCTTCTCGAGCCATATATGCCCCTAACTCCCGAACCCACTTGAGATGCCTCTGTTGTATTACTTCCACGGTTCAGGTGCCACATATGCTCAAGTTCAGAGAGAGGGACGCTCTGAGCTACGACATTAAGCTAGTACTGTGTGTGATGAACCACCAAAAAAACATCGGCTGGCGGCATCCAGATTTGAACCGGAATCTCCCTCACGAAAGTGGAAGCGCACACAATCCAGTCCGGACTTGACATCCTGGCGTAAGACCAGGAGCATGTCGGGTATCTGAAGGGGTTCCTCAAGCTGAAGGTATGCTCCCATTGCACCATGCCACCTCACAACAAAGTGGGCGCTTTGGCTTAAAATCCGGGGTAAGGGGCATATGGGGGAAAGAACAGGAATTGAGGTGAATAGAGATACGCCGACAGTCAATGGGTGAGAAAGAAACTTGGTGGTGAAGAGAGTGACTGCTCGCCTGACTAGAGCATCACTTCAACAGGACAGACAAAGAAAACTTGCGTCACGGCCACGCAAGGAGCAAGCAGAAGTCCAGAGAGACATCATGGATGTTGGGCCAGCTGCGACAAGAATATCGCTCTTTGGATGGGCTGAGGATGGTTTTGAAGCGGATCCGACATGTCTGAAATGTATGTGAAACCACGATATCCAGGAGTGACCAACACTACCTTCAATAGAGGAGTAGTAGGTGTGTATATGAGGAAAACTACGGCCGGTCAAAATCCGAGCTATACACGAGGCAAGCCGAAAATGATCTGGTCACAAAGAGGTCTTCATTTCTCAGGGACCAGAGGGAATCGCTCAACTTTGCAGATCTCCGCACATCCCGATCATCCTGCCTTGCAAGTCGCTCGTACGAATTTCAGGGGCGGTGGCAACAAGAACATTGAGTTGTCGAAGTTATTGAGAGATTTCCCATTCAACTTTCGCTTTCGGGGTCTGTGACTGCATTGATCCTGGTACATTCCATCCAGGCGTACATGGACTGAGGAAAACCGTTCCCGAGGCGTAGTCTCCGTCCTGATCATCATGTCGCTGAGCAGAATAACAGAATTGAATCTGCGAGGCAGGTGTCTTTGCACCCTCCTTGAATGGCGAGAGCGAGGATTTCATTCGTGGACCATCCCCTGGCACTAGGATTTGACAGAAACCTTGTGAAGATGTTGGATACAGTAGCATTTCGCCTGTCGTGGCTTGGATCCCCTGATGTGCTGACGGTGGAACCGTGTCCGAGAGATCGGATCAGACATGTGAATTCTTTGACTAAGTAATGACTTAGCAGCGCGGAAAAGCACTCCCTACTGTCCTCGCCAATAATCTCCCACCATCAACTGGACTTAGTGAGTCTCATTGAGCCTATCTGGAGGCCGCCCTACAAGTAGGAGTCTTAGCGAAGCCTAAAGATCCTAGTGGATTTTAGTGGCATCCCACTTCGCTGCCTCACCGAGATCCAACCCTGATGTTTGGCTCTCTGGGCCATTCCTAGAGAGTCCATCCCAGCCGCATCAGGCATTAGTTTCGTCAGCTGGCGCCAGAGAATTTGGCTGGTCAAGACCGGTCGAAACCCCCGCAAAGCCTGTGTCTCGCCAACCCTGGCCACCTCGAAGTCCGGGGTTTTGGTGATCGACCTTAAACCGGCGGCTGCGCTTCGTTGGTCGTCATGCCCGCAGACTTTCACATCATGACCTTGAAGACATCTTCATTTCTGCCCCATTCTATTACAATAATATGAACCTGGGCACTCGATAGCATCCAGCCTAGTCGACTCTTCGGTTACATGAGCATTATGACGACCAAAATTGTACCCACGCCCATCAGTCAGCGGCCTGCCTCCAACGACTCCGCCGAATCGAGCGAGAAACTCGTCTCCTCTCGACGGCTCAAGAAACGAGAGATTGACCGGCGGTGCCAACGGCAAGCCCGTGAACGTACCAAATCTCGAATAGCTCACCTGGAAGGCCTCGTCGAAGAGTTTCGCCGTCAAGATGCCACCGGACAAGTAGCGCTTCTGATGAAGCAGTTGCAAGAGGTGGAAGCTGATCGGAGCTTGATGGCAAAAACATTGAAAGACATTCAAAAGGCACTCGACCTACGCAAATCCTCAGCATCACACGAGGAACACATATTCCTAGACGAAGATGATGAACCGAAACCGAACATGATGTCCTTATCCGATGATACCCCACTAAACCTCAAGACCGAGCCGGAGGAAGATAGACAAGTGTCTACTGTCTGCAGTTTCGACAGAACCAACTTCACTCCTTCTCCATTCAGCAATGGCAAGCCACAAGACACCCTCCTTGCACGGCCCATCGTGCAACTGAGCTGCGACGTCCCTCGTCCGAAGAATCAGGCAATGGTACAATGTAAGAGCAGTGAAAGTGATGTTCCACAGCTCCCACAGTGGACAGATCATTGGGCAAAGCCGAGAAAGTCATGTACATGCCATACATTCTCGAAGCATGTGCCCGGACAACCCGTCGCCTGGCGTGGGAACTACTGGGTGTATGCCAACCAGGTGTTGAGTCAGCGATTCGCCTGGCCCAAGGACATAACGCCGGCATCTGATGATGTGACCGACGATGTGCCCATTCGTGCTCTGTTAGAAGGATGGGATGCTGTTGCCAAACGAGGCCCATTGCACCCTTCGTGGCAGATCCTCCGGCAGATCGACGAGAATTTGTTCTGTACATGTTCAAAGACCGAACGACTGGCCTGCATGAGGGCGATGCATGCACTCATTCAGTTTCACACCCAGTCCAACTCGCGCTTTTTCCAGCGCTTACCTCCGTGGTACATGCGTCGTCCTTCGCAATCAATCGCGCATTCCTACGCAATCGACTACTACGCCTGGCCTGGGCTCCGCGAGCGTTTCATCTTCGGTGAGCATAACTATTGTGGGAACGAATTTTGGCATCTGTTCTGCAAGAGCCTGCGTATACTGTGGCCGTACGAATTCCGAGACTGCTACACGCACGAGGTGGAAACTGGGTTGTACAAGATCAATCCCACGTTTGACCAAAGATTGTCTGATATCAAATGTTGGACAATGGGGCCCGATATCTTTCAGCGATACCCAGAACTTTACAGTGATATGCCTTCATTCAACCAGATTCCGCAGAAAATGTCAACTCGAGTGTCAACGCAAGAGAACAACTCCATTGCCAGGCCTAGATCACCCAGGGCCGCAACATCATCGCCCAACGAGCAAGAAGAAGTCATCAAGCTTCCACCTGCATCAGCCCACTACGTACCTATGCAGCATAATTATATGCATGTGCAGCAATCACATACACAGGCGTACCTTCAGGACGGACAAAATGGTGATCACTCGAATTCGAATCCGCACGCATATAATCTGTCCGAGATCACGCCCATGATGGCCCTAGACGCATTTGCGTACGGTGCCATTAGTGAGGTCGACTTCGCCACCGTCTATCATTCAGAAGCGATGGAGGGATACCCTAATATGAACTTCTAATTCGAGAGTATCGAAAATCTACATGAAAGTCGGCCGACTCGAAGCGATTTTACAAGCAGCGCAACAGTTCATATTTTTCCAGTCTCAGATGATTAGCCTGCGTGGTTTCCTACTCTTCCTGGGCTCGGCAAGCACGATGACGTTTTGTAAGGGTAGTCTTTTGATATGGGATATTCTGCTGCGATTTTTTTCCGCCCGGACGTATCCGAACGAGCACAAGTTGTTTTGATCACTCAATATGTTGTGAGATCTGGGTAAGTCTGTGCTGATTATTGCCTGTTGAAATCTCCTCTAACTGTTTATTTGACCTGCTAACACTCCGCAGTGCTCCTTATGTGCCGCATGTACAGATTCTGCTTATGCAACATATGCAACACGAATATACTGTACATATTTCACCAATCTACCACCCTCTCCCACCCGACGATTACCTTCGGGGCAATCAAGCCATAGGTTTTGTGCTTATTCCAACACCTTCACTCGTAGAAGGGGGAGGTGGTCATTGATCAGGAACACTTTATCTGCCGTGATTCAGATGACACGTCTGAGGACAGGCCCATACATCATCTAGAGCATGCAACGGATGTTTGTTGGGTTCGGCAAAAATTCAACAGTGGTGCCTATGAGGAATAATGGCAGAGCGGGACGTCAATAAAGTAGACATTACATGGTGAACACATTCCTGACTTACAATTATTCGCAAGCTGGTGTTTCAAAGCTATCAACGTCTGTTATTCAGAGAAAGATATGTTCCAGGATGGCATCACCACGAGCACCACCTGTGTTGATTGCTGGGGGCCAATGTCATTTGCCCCATTTCTTGCGCAAAACTATTGCTGATGGTGTGGTGTCGCGCAAATTGACCCTGAACTGCCATATCAAAGAGAGAGTCATTAATAGCAAACTACAGAAAAGATTGTGTCTCTACGTTTTCCATGTATGTAGTTGAATGCGACGTACACGTTTGTTTGATCTCTTGTGAGTATGAACAAATTTGTTCGTTTGCCAACTTTGTGATATTCGTTCTTGAATGCAAACAGATATTGAACGATTGTTTTGTTTGCACGCCGAAGGGGTGTTCAAACAGAAGGGTCAGACTTGGGGGATATATCAAGTAGATTTGAAGAACGATAAGCCGGCCACTTTCTTTGATGAAGAGTCGTTCAACGGCCATTGAAGATACAACCAAACGCGCGGTCGTTACATCCTTTGACGAATTTGTCCACAGCAGGACATCGGTACACACTCTCA